CCCAAACAAACAGAAAACATGTAATATTTGGGCTGCTGTTTATTACTGGTCTGTATATTAGCTCCCCTACTCTGCATCACTTGCTTCTGCTGCAGACAAGAACATTTCCAAGTGCTATTTAGGAGCTGAAGTTACTTCTGCCTCCACCCAGGCTGCAGCTGCCCAACTGCAGTCAAGGTTGCCCAGAGAACTCCCAGTGCTGAATTAGGAGAGAATATACAACGGAGACTTCTCTCCCAGAGGAAGGAGAATAATTTTGACCTTAGTATATCATGAGTAAGACACTAAGCTGGAGTCTGAAGTACAAGAATCCACCTATCTCTTGGGAAATCCTCTGTTTGCTCTGTGATAACACAATAATGCTGAAAAGAGGTGGGCACTGATAAAGATGTTAATACTAAATACAAGGCAGGTATAAGCAGGGTGACATTGCTAAACAAAGCAGAACGCTGCCTGCTTTCACCAGACCTGAATTTTAACTCTGATATTTTGCAAGGGTTTACCTGAAACTGTACCTCAATTAAATATTCATTCATGAGAAAAAGCTATTTGTGTTTCATAGCAAACAGCTCATACACAATTTACAAATGGCTACATATATCCTTAATTAGTTTCCAACAATCCTGCTAAACACTAAGGGCAAACTAAATCCATTTTATGTCAAGGCTGCAGATACACAGTCACTTTATCTAATCAGCCCCAGCTGCCTTAAAGCCAGTAACTCAAAAACAAAGAGGCTACCAAACCAAATAACTTCTGTGAGGCCTCGCTGGAGGAGAAGGGGATCGGGTTGATTACTGCTCACCTGCCACACTGAGGCATGCAAGCAACCTGAAACAAAGGGAGTTTTCAGTGCTTCCCAATGACACACCTAGTTTGTGAAGTAATTACTTCTGACGCATGACACAAAAGATAAACACCGAGTCCTGTAGCATGTTGGCTAGCAACTCCTCAAAACACTTTGGAAAATAATATCATTATGCTACCTTTAAAATAGCAGATGAATTTTACCTGTTCGTAGCAGGTAACTTAGGACCTAGGTACGAACAGCCTTCAAAATAGAGCTGAAGTGCTGCCTCAGTTGTAACCAGGATTTCACACAGATTTGATTTGCTCCTAGGCAGAACATGGCTTAGCTCAGTGTTTCACTTACTTAATAAGCTGATTATCTTTTAAAGGTGGCATGATGAATTCTTTGTTCTCTTTTAATACAAGACAGATGTAACATGAAGGGGCAAAATCTATAATGTGTAACTTTATGATCACCGTCTGTGCCATGGTTTCATGTGCATGACCTCTCAGCAATTGCTAGCACTGCCTTTGGAGCCAGATTTGTTGGTCCACTGCTCTGTTTTGACCTTCAAGAGCTTACCGTGTGGGAGGAGAAGGGTGAGGTGTTGCTGGGCTCCAGAAGCAGGGTGTTCTGTCCCTCCACCTGGTATCACTTGAGGGTGAGGACCTGGTGACTCTGGAGCTAGTGGTTCATGAGCTAATTGTTCAGTGTGTTTAATTACATTGGAGTGCTAAAAACACTCATTGCAACAATCAGACATGAAGTAGAGTTTCTGTATGCAAGAAGTTTGTCTGTTTTTCCCAACTATGTCATTTGGCCTTACAGACTTTGCTTTGGGTGGCTTAGCACAAACCTATGTCCATCAGAGACCTTCATAGACTTGCCTTGGATTATCTCCAAAGCCAGCTCCAGCTCGATCCTGGATCTGAGAGACACCAGGAGCACAAGCATCCTGCAGACAGGAGTGAACCATGTTGTCCCTAAGGCATGCTACACTGTTACATGTGGCATTTTCCTACTAGAAAGTGAGTTGCCCTGTGGTGTTCTCCCTGACTGTGGTCCACCTGCCAGGGTAGATGGAGAGTGGGGTGAAAGTACAACATCAGCTATGGCCGCTTTCTGCAGAGTTCAGTTTTAAGGCCAAATGCTGTGAGCGCTTGGGATGTTGGTACAATAAGGGTTTCGCAGTAGGCCATACCGGGTAACATGGCCTGTTCTTGTCACAGCATGTTGAAGCACAGTCACTCCAGGCACGGCTTTAGTTCAGTGGGCGAGTGCTCTGGGCCTAGGACCGTGAGTGGTTTCTTGCCTACCGTCTGCTGGGCAACTGATCTTTGAGGCTTGTTTATGAAAGCCTGCGAGAAGGGCTCTGCCCTCTCCATGCAGACACAGCGGGCCAGGCCGGTGGGACAGTTTCCCTGCCCAGCCCTCTGTGGCAGCTCTGCCAGGCAGGACAACAGCACAGAGTGGGAAAACTGGGAGTCCTGGCCGCTGGCCTCATTCCCTTCACCTGCCTGATACTACTGTGAGGCAGGAAAATGCCAGAAGGGCCTTAGAGATGACAACAAAACTGGGTGTGCATGTGCAGCTGATTCACAGGGTGGAGTAACAGCTGGACGTGCTTGCAAAGAAAGCCACCGATCCCACAGGCAGGGCCCCTCCACAGTGCAGATGTATCTGGGGGAGGGTTCGGGGGCATCGTGGAGAGCTGCACCTAAGGTTCTTGCAGAAAGTAGTGTGGGCAGGACTAACAAAAGCACTTCACCCACGCTATTTCTCTCTGAGTGCAACCATCTCCAGCAACACAGCATTTTTTCCAGTTGTGTTCAAATTCATGGGAACTCTCTGGATCCCTTTAGGAGGCTGTCCCATAAGTGAGCAATGTCACAGCAGGGAATAATTTTCTACTCTATTATATCTTTCCTGATATATATATATGTGCTCCTTCCCTGCATTGCTCTCAATACCCTCCATCCCTGTCGCCTGAAATAACTGCTCACTCATCACTGTATTGGGTTTAGCCATGCTGTATGAATCCAGAGAGATAAGAAACAATATTCTTTAGATAACAGCACAGACTCTTGCACAAAGTTCTTTCTTGTCTCAGAGTTCAGTCTGCACCCTTATTAAAAAAAAGGAATGTAACAAAAAAAAACCCCTTTAAATGAATTACCTTAAAATGTAGCATGAAATATCATTAGTGCAGTACTAAGGATTTATGAAATGGTGGTGGTGTTTTAAGTGAGATTATGGCCACCATTTTCCCCACGGTTGCCATTGTGTAGTATTTGAAATGATCTTTTTTTCAGTGCTTCGAGCAGCAATTAAGTATTGTGTTTCAAATGCCACCACACAGCAACCGTGAGTAAATAATGACTTAAATAAGAAGTAAGAAAAAGTTTTGTTTGATTTTACAGGTGTTAAATTCCAGAAGGACAATCTAACTCAAACAAAGCCCTAAGCAAAAGTTACTGAAATTCCTGACAACCTGAGTTTCATGTTAGACAAGGCAGATAATCAAAATTATCTCTCCTGGCTCTAAAATCTCTAACCACAGATTTTTACCATGGCTGTAAAATTCTGAGATTGAGTTTTTTAACTTCAGGTATAACATTTTTGTTTCAATTTTTAAAGCATGGGAAGAACAATTGCAGCAACTACATGTGGTTAAACAATTTATTTCTATAATGTATATCCTTAAAAACAGCCCCAAAACAGCAAAACTTGCACTGGCATGTACATTGCAGGACTGGAATGTGAATTTAGGTTATTTTCTTGTTCTTCTGGTAATCTGGTTATTCCTCCCTTGAGAAGAAATGCAGTACTACGTATCCAGTACCCAGATGGATTCAAACTCATATCCTGTAAACAGTCTCAGAACATTAGGAAAAAGGTAACTGAAACATTTTGAGACCTGGTAATTAATTCTGTGGAACCCATTTACGGGAAACTCAGCTGCAGTGAAACCCTGCTTGTAGAGAATGAAAGCTGCAAGGTGTTTCAATGCAAACTAGTGATGCTTGTAAGTGAGCCCCTTTCCACAGGACACAAGCTTGCATTCCTGCCCCAATGTCAAAGACCTTCAGAGTCAAGATGGTGGGACCAAGCCTGTAACTGAGAGGTTTAGAGGAGAAAATTCCATGACTTCACTATGACAGGCTCCCATTGTAATTCTTAATTGGTTACTTTAGATTACTCTCTCAGCCAGCCCTTGTTAATGTGAAATGATAACCTTGAACTGTGCTCATGGTTTAAGTATTATCCAAAGACCTGCATGCAGCATACAGGGACAAAGTCAGAAATTCTTTTGCACTTGTGTGAGGTCAGAATCGGGCTGGTTCTGTCAGCCAGATCATAGGATCGCAGCAATCCAGCTGTTTATGGGCCTTATCAAGCATTAGATTAAGAGTTTGTGCATGCCAGTCTGGAAATAGAGTTCATCAGCCTGATTCTGCTACTTTTAGCCATGGTGCTATTACTTGATTTCTTGTGCATTTAAACATGAGTAGAGGTGGAAGACGTGAGTTCTATGTTCTTTAGGAAACTTGAGATGACATGAATGGAACAAATCAATGGTTCAGCAATTACAAGAATCTGAGGTACTTCGGGGAAGTTGAAGTGGTCCTGGTCAGAACAGTTGCCCTGTTTTCAACTCAAGCTAAATGCCTATGCCTGGTGTTTGTCCTGGAAAGAGACAGAGGAGAAATTCTTTAAAATAATGGGTTCATTTTAATCTGATCTTTAACATAATGATTCTCAGGTTTCTGTTGTTGTTTTTTGCAATGTATTCTGTAACCTTATACACATTCTACAGTTATGTATTCTATACACATATTAATGACATCTGGCTTTGATATGCACAGACTCCTCTCACACCTTTGGGAAGACTAGTGGGATGGTGTTTGGTGGCACTGCTTAAATGAGGGAGGTCAGCCAGATTTGGCTTACATCACACAAGGAGAGAGAGGGTAAATATGAAACTATTCCTTGAATTACTGAAGTATCTCCTTTACTCCTCCTTCTAGGATTGCTATCTACATGAAATTTCCAGTGTGGATCCATGCTTCTCAGCACCCATGTGCTGCTTCCTAGAGCCCTCAAAAGCCTCTCTGCTCTGCTCCACTCAGCAATTCTTTTTGCATCTTCCAACCCAAAGCTGCTTTTTCAATACTTGTTTACCTAGTGCCTGCTCTGTTTCCTTTCACAGCACATCAGCGGTGCCCTTCAAACCATGTGTGGTTCAGCTCCACTCTCCCCACTCCCTTCTGAGCCCTCACTCCCCAGCCCAGCTGGGAGCTGGGGAGGCAGCTGCACCAATGGTCCTGGTTCTTCACCCACACGAGGGGGAAGAAGAGAGCACAGTGGAGCAAGGAGTGGAGCAATCCCTGTTGTTCGAAGTAAGGAAGTAAGGTGTGGCTCATCCTGAATTTGCCTGAAACACTCTCTCATCAAAGGACAGCAGGCAACCAGGAAGGTTTATCAGGTGAGGGTTACGTGGAATTGCCCATCCAGGCCCTACAACAAAGGCTGAGCCTTATGGGATTATGAGTTTTGGTCTGTGTAACACGACAAAAAAACTGCCCACAAACAAGGTGAGATTGTTCCAGGTGTTCTGGGAAGGGAAAGGGCTGCTGTGGGATGCACATGGACCTTCACTGAAGCACATGTACAAGGCAGTCATGGAAAGGGCCTGCCTACAGCAGCCAGTAAACATCGTGTTATCCTAACAGCATAACAAATCAGGTTTATTATTCTTCATGCCTTTTTTTCATTAATCATTAATACTCAGTTAATACAGCAGTGATCTGAATGTACCCACAGGTCTGTCCATAAAGGAAGTAATTTACTGCCTGCTTTACAACAGTGCTGTATAAACACTTGAGTTGCATTAAGTACCGCATTTCTATGGGAGTAGTGACACATTCAGGTGAGCAAAGACAACATTTCAGAGAAAAACAACTACTTGTGGTCCAGCCCCAGCTCCTACTGCTGCCAGCCTGTGACAGTATAAAAATAAATCCATGTTGTTGATGAAAAAAAATGAGGAACTGAAAATTATGCCAACATGCTTTTTAGAAGTCAATAGTTCTATTATTTCCACAGAACTTCTGCTTTGTGCAGCCTGAACACAGCATTAGAGAGGCCCTCACCTTACTCTGAAGCTCATATGTATTTCAGTCAGTCAGGATTAGGATCAGGATGGACACCTGAAATCAAAAGGGTAGGAAAGGAAACCCAAGGATCCATCATTACTTCCCAGCATCAGAGGGATTTCTTATTAACACCTTAAAAATTAGATTTATAAATATATAATTCTACAATCCCTGTACTGTCGTGTTATATCTGCCTCCATATGAGGCAGATTTTCCTCTATTCTTGTTCCCCAAATCACAGAGCAGGTTTTGAATGTGATTATTCAATTGTTTCTTTGTCCACAGACATAACACTGTTTCTTACAGTGCAGTTTCACTGCTGAACAGCAAGCAAATGGAACTGACCCAGAGGGAGACTTGGACCTGCAAGACCCCCCTCAGATTTGCAGTGATTCCTTGCCTAAAGCATGTACCTGTACTGTTCGTTGGGACCTTCCGTGAAACCAGCATCCTCCAGAACTTGGAGAAACTACAACAGTCATTTAACCCTGTGCATATACTGAATCTTGCTGAACTGGAGCCTGAATAAAGCATGGGTCCAGCAGGCAGTCCTGTACGTGCTCGAGGATAATAGTTGACTAATCAGTCTGGGGACAGCTGACGGACAACTTCTAGCGACTGTGATCTTCAGTAAAACTAATTTCCATAAAAAAATGATTTTTAGCATCATTTCAGTATGGTGTCTGTACATGATAAGTCACTGTGGCATACATACTGCCCTGTTTTCTTGCAGACATAAGGGCTTCTAATTTTTACTCTCTACCCTCCCACATTCTGGTGCAATTCCTTTCCTTAATGAGTATGCACACAAAATGACCTCAGTGCAAAACTGTGTACTGTTTCCCTGAACTCTGGAGCTCACATTTTCATGACAAAAGGTGCAATTATTTTCCTGTACAGCAACATTTGCAACAAGGCTGGCTTTGCAAACAAGAGTTTCAGCCTCTCATTAGGTTGACAAGAATTTGGTCAGCCTGGTAAGAAATCTTTTGTACGTGGCAAATTAATTTTATTTAAGCACCCTTTTACATTATCTTTTAAAGGAGCTTTCTGAATGCAAAGGCGGACACAACTGCTCAGTCTACCCTTCCCTGTGCATTACAAATTGTTTAGTAATGAGGCAGGTAGAATCTGATTTTATGCAATCAATCATGAAAATGTGTTAACAACTGTAACCTAAAATTAGCACCTTTCATGACTATAATGTAATTACCAAACTTCCCTCAATTACATGCTATTCCTTAACAGTTACAGTTCATCCTTTGTCATTCTGGAATTTCAGAAAACTCTGAGCGGTGCACTATGCTGGTGACCAAGGCACTGGCAAGGCAGAGGCTGGATCTATGTAATTCTTTAACACTACACACAGATCTTTTTTTCCTGCACAGTAGATGAGATTCAGTGAGTGCTAAACTTCACTGACAGTCCTTGATGCCTTTGATTTGTGGTCGTGGCAAAACTGCTCATGCCAGTAACCTCCAATTATGACATTTAAGTCAAATCAACACACAAATCAAATCCACTGACAATGTAGTTTCACTATTTCAATGTTGGGAAATTACTTGCATTTTACTTTTGGCACAGGTTCTGATTTAATTCCCAATTAAGTCAACGAGAGCCTGCAGAATCTTTTGGTTTGCTTCAGTGATAGGGGATAAGCCCAGCAGTCAAGGTTTATTCTCCAAATATTAGCAGAAGTGCTCTGCTTATCAGGCAGTTGATACTGTTAGCTCAAAGGCAATAAAATCTTTGCATCCAAATATAAGCTTTTGTGAGATCTTAGTTGACAGATGGATTTATAATGGATAATACAATCTTGAATTTCTTCTTAAACTTTAGTTAATTGAAGCATTTGGGAAGGGTGGATCTTTCCAAAACAACTCCTTGAGGAACCATACTGAAATTATGTTGCCTACTCAGGCAGTTAACCTTGACTTTCCAATCATTGTGAACTGTCTTTAAATGAAGACTATTATAAAACTAATTTTATTTTTGTCGGATAAAACAACTCATGACACATGATATGGACAGAGCTAACCATATATGAATGAGATCTATACAAAACCTGCCAACTTTACTTTCTGCTCCCTCTGAAATGTTTTCCCTGGTGACAACAATTAAGCAGTGGGCTTTATAAAAAATTCCATGAAACTTTATGCACTGAGAGCATGTCCTTGAATATACTGAAATTCTTTAAAAGACTCTTGTGGACTCGTAATTAAGCTCTGAATGCAAGAAGCAAGAGATTCCCCAATTCCATTTTCTAGATATGATCAACAGTGATGGAAGTGCCCAGCTCTGTGAAATGTGTAAAATTTTATAGCACACAGTTGTATATGGCTTGATGGTGGTACAGTTGTGACAGCCTGGGAACCCTTGTAGTATAGAATATGGTAATTCCTGAGTGAACCACTCTCTGGAAGAAGATTATTTTCTTTTAATGAATTAATGGGCAGCAAATGCTGGGAGGAATGTGTTTTTCTTTCAATGGTGCTTCATATGTAAATACATGTAAAGCACAATACACCTCTAACTATATGTATAAAAGACATATAGGTAGGACTGCTCTTTAGAAATTACAAAACACTATCAGGTGACCAGTAGCATAATCTTTAGTTTAAACAGTTCAATACTTTTGAGAATGATTTTAAAGCCATAACATAAATAGGTTCTGAAATCCTACAACAGAAGTTGAACAGAAACAGCTTCTGCAAAGTTTATGTATTGCACTCCACTTGCCAAAAATGTGGTCTAAATCAGGAAATGGTGTGAACTAAACCAGTCAAAGTCCAACTAATTAATATTTTACTTTAGCTGTTAGCAGACAAGACTGTAAAAAGTCCTTCTTCCCCATCTGTGAGCTTAGCATGTGATAGGCCTATCACCTGGTAGAAACTGTCCAGGAGTCTTTTGGCTCAGACTCCAGATTAACACAGATCTTGCCTGCGCAGACAAATTCCTGTGGGTGATGAAGGGCTTACACGAATGAGTGTTTCAGGGCCGCACCAGTATGTCATTACATTTGCAACCTGTCTGACTGCCAGAAGATGTGCTGGCTGTCAAAAACTGGGGATTTCCCACAACACCCATCTCCTCTTGATTTGACTTCTGTATCCTCCTGTGAGCTACATCCAAAATTTCTAGGGATGATGATTCCTGGAAGTCTTAAGGGGGGCAATCAGTAATGCTTGCTCAGTCTCATGCTACATTTGTGAAGCTAATACTCGCACCTTTCTCAAAAGTGCTGTCTTAGTTGAACAGTTTGGTGAACTGGAGAAATTTCCACACCCATGCAAGAATACTGGGCAATTGGATCTTGGCAATACTTACTGTTGAGATCTTTGACCACATGAAATAACAATCTGGTCTTTCATCTTTACCAGTAGAGTTTTCTGACCTTAATCTCAGGTGTATACCAATGTACCAGCAGACCTGCTGAAGTCGTGAGGGACTGCAGCTGCTAATAGCATACATCCCCACCATAATCACAAACTGTTCCTATAAATAGAGCATGAAAGTCGCACGTGGCTATTATGGGCCAGGTGTTCTGGAGGGTATTTTTGAGTGGCACTGAATCCCAGTAACATATTTAGCCCATCCGTTAAATGTTCACTAACTACTTGTGCTATATGCCAAAAATACATCTGCAGTGACCTGATCCATTGGCTGCGATACCATCCTGTCACAGATGTGGGGGATATATGTTCCTATACAGAGACCAAAATCAGAAAAGCTGAATTAAGGTTGTTTGTACATCTAGAGATGGACACAACCTGGCTGCTTCCTGCAGGTTCATTTCACCGGTGTCAGGGGTATGCAGAGGTACTGCAGCATGCTTTCATGCTGCAGGGACATGGATGGACAAGCAACCGCAGCATCACCGCATGTTCTCCCTCTCTGCAAGGAAGGCTAAGGATGACACCACCGAAACGTGTCTCTGAGCCCCCTGCCCGCACACCCTTGGCAATTCCGCCCTCAGATGCCGCTGCCCCGGCAGACGCCGGCGGCAGCCCTCAGCCCGTCTCCACGGGAGCCTCCCCTCAGCCCCGCCGCCATTTTGAGCGGGGAGCTGAACGGCCCAGAGGTGGCAGAGGACCTGGGGGCAGCGAAGACCGGTGCCTCCCCCCCCTCCAGCAGGGGAGGACCGCTACCCAGCCCAGCGAGGCTGTGACGGAGCGGCCCCCGCCCCGCGGGCACACCCGCCTGCCCCCGCCCTCTCTCCC